GTCACCTGTGCTTTTTCCGATTTTTTGCTCAAGAAATCCCTGCTGTCCGTCCACACACGCCTTTTTGCGCAAGAGCTCTTGAGCAAAAAGGCTTATTTCCTGTAGAAAGAGGAATAACTCTTGTGCAAAAGCCCTGTCTTCTGACGATCTACTGTACTTATTCCTGCGCAAAAACGCACTTGTAGTGTGGACCTTCCATGAGTTTTTGCACAAAAGCGCTGCAGTGTAGATGTAGCTTTGGTTTGTGGGTTATGCAAATGTTTGTAATAAAATAATCACATAAAGTGTGCAGGGTGCACTTTGTATTCTGTGCTGCAATTGAAATCAATGCATTTGAAAATGTAGAAAAACATCCACAAATGTTTAATACATTTCAATTGGTATATTCTGTGTTGTTGAACAGAGCAATTACAGCTCCAATTCATCATGATTACCTTTTTTGAGTTCACCATGTGAGTTAAGTGCAATTAATTGGCAGCTCTATTGCAAACCAAACCCCACAAAAATTCCACATTTTAAAGATGAGAAAAAAATGGAGTCTTCTGAGATAGGCAGGAAAGGAAAATAAAGAGACACAGGAGCTCTAAGCACCTATTTTTCTTGAAAGAGAGCTGGTGGGTCAAAGCTTCCAGTCCTTAATGAAATAACACTTTTGATGTCGTCAGTGCCACCGCTCGTAGAAATCAGTATGTGCTGACTAACTGTACCCTTGGTCAGATGTTGGCTGCATGTGCGTTCTCTCTGTGTGGCGCGCTGGCTCTTGCCAAGTATGACTGAACTGCCCCAGTAAGCACAGACTTGTTAGTAGCCAAGCACTGGGTGAGGTTTACTGCTGGAGAAGCATAGTAATAGCACCTGGCAGATTGTCCGGGGAAGGAGACACTAAGACATGTGTGCCCGCGACACAGGACTCAGCTCAGGCAGTGGCGAACTTCCCACTGCCCCTAGGCACTGCCACTGCCACTCCCACTGAGGTATCTCATTATGGCTGGTATTGGGGTGTTCTGGCACCCCCCTTCTAGATAGGGTTGCCAGATGGTTGAAACAAAAATACCGAAACCCCTCCCCCGCAAAAACCAACAACGAAACACTGGGAAAAAATTATGTTGAAGGGGAAAAAAAGGTGTGTGTGGGGGGGAGACACATTTTTTTAAAAAATAAAACAGCATTAAAACAGCATGTCCCCTTTAAGTGCAAGGATAGGAACCAGGGAGCGGTTGAGCACTAACACCCAGGTAAAGCATTGCTTCCCTTAGGTCTTTTGGCCAGCAGCCATTTTGTGCCGGTAGCCTTGGGGAACCAGGTAAGCATGGGGGCTGGGGTCGGGAGGCTGGGGGTGTTGGGAGCAAGAGGTGATCTTGGACAGGCCTGGCACTGAGTGTTTGTATGGTTGCCAGGTGCCTGGATTTTCGCCTCCTGGCCAGGGAAAAATTCAGAAAATACCGGACCAAAATGTCCGGTATTCTCTGGATTTTTTTACCGGACGGGAGGCGAAAATACCGGACTGTCCAGGTGAATACCGGACACCCTGGCAACCCTACTTCTGGAATGTGTTTGTGTGAGTGTCCTGTGCCTCAGAATAGGGTTGGCAGGTGTCCGGTATGGGCCCGGACAGTCCAGTATTTGCGGATTCTGTCCGGTAAAAAAAAAAGGAAAATACTGGACATGTAAAATGTCTGGTATTTTCTGTTTCTCTCAGACGGAAGGCCGCTTGGGACATTCCTTCCCTGCTGCATCTGGTGAGGGTGGAGGGAGCTTGGGGATTTAAAGGCACTGTGACTCTTTTTTTTGTGCAGTTGTTTTGGGTTTTTTTTGCTCAACAACTTTGGTCCCCATGGGTTATTTTTGTTTTTGCTCAACCAATTTTTTTCCTGCCATGTTTGGTATTTTTTGTGTAACTATCTGGCAACTCTACCTCAGGAGTGTGTGTGGTTTTGTAATTCCCGCCCAGAGTCTGTGAGCGTGCACACAAGCAGAGCCCAACTTTGCTAACTTTGGGTGCGTCTAGACAGCTCCCTTCTTTTGAAATAAGCTACGCAATTTGCGCCACCCAAATTATTACAAGTCTAAATTGAAAGCGCCAAATTTCAAAATAAGCTCTGTCTACACAGCACCAAATTTCAAAATAAGGCACTATTCCGACAATTCCCTTAACCCTCAGGGACGCCGGAATAGCATGCCCACTATTGCAGGAAATAGCAGGTGCTTTTAAAGACACAGCATTGCTACTTCAGGATGCTTCTGGTATCCAGAAAGAGCAATGCAGTCTAGATGTACCCCTTGTTTTCTGTTAGCAGGACCTGTTTACCACTTTAGTTCAGGCCTCTGACCTCATACCAGAGCTCTGAACCAAGATCTCGTGTCTCAGGTTCTCTTTCTACTACACATTTTATACTTAAATATTGGAGCCGTCTTATCTAGGGCTACACGCTTTATACACGTTGGCACAGGGGTTACATTCTGCAATATTCTGAACAGTGCTGAGCTCTGTGAATAATGCAGATCATGATCATCATTGCTGACTTTATGCACTTTTGTGGGTTCAATTTCGGTTCCTTGTTCAGGAATTGGCCTAGATACAACTGAAATCCTAAGAGTTTGAGACATAATGCAACACTCACCCGACACCCATTCCTTCCTTCCTTCCTTCCTTCCTTTTCTCAGACTTGGAACAAAAAAAAGACAAACCAAATGGGTTTCAGTCAAAATGGAAAATTGCACCGCAGCCCTTGTGCTAAAACCCAAGCGGGGGCACAATGTGACACCCAGAGTTGTCCCTAGGGGGGAACAGGGCCTGCCCTGCCCCCACTCCACCCCTTCCCCCTGCTCTGTCCCTGCCCCTTGCCCAAATCCCCCTCCCCCAAGCAACGTGAGCTGTGGGAATACCTGGGGGCCTGATGTGAGGCAACAGCAGGGGTCCAGCCCCCCCTCACTCACCATAGCACTGGGAGATGGAGCGACACAAATAGCTGCCCATCTCCCAGCCCACTGCGCTCTTCTTTGCAGTGGCAGTGGGAAGTGAAGCACCCTGGGGCTGGATTGCACTGGCCTGGCCTGGGCCCTGCAACTCCTGTCCATAGGATGGGTGAAGTGGGCCCCGTGGCTCCCCCTTCCAAGCACAGGGCCTGGGGCAGCTGCTCCAAACTGTCCTAGGATGGGACACTCTGCTGCCTCCCCTTGGGGTGAAGCGATCGCCTCTCATTTGCCATCTTTCCTGAATTCAGTTGCCTAGGATCGTTTCCTGGAATCTCAGGCAACTGGCCTTGGCTTGGCTCCCATCGATCTCAATCCTCTCCTTTTTGCAGCAAGAGCAGGTTGGGCCTGTACATAGGGAGCTGGAGAGACCTGGGTTCTACCTCTCCCCAGACTGCCTGTGGGGTCACCGGCCAGGGCCTTAGGGACAGAGCTTGACAATAGGAGACTTCAATCTCCATGGCTGTCAAACCACTTACAAAGCTACATGTTTAAAATATGTGAATATCTTTACATTTGTCAGCTTCACAGGAAAAAATACATGCCCATCTAAGCAAGGGTGAAACATCCAACCATCTTAAGGAAAACATTTTGTACTAGAAATGTAATTCTATGGCACATTACTGGGTGAAGTTCTAATGGTCTTTGTCCATATGGCTTGCCATATCCATTTATATTCTGTCCTTTCAATGAGCACTAATAGTCCCATAGGACTATTTTAGCCTCACTGTTTCATATTTTTATTGCTTTAAAATCCCTGTTGAATTGAAGGCTGAAGCATTCCTGTTTTACGCTAACATTTTTGGCAGAGCTTTTATGTCAACGATACTGAGCATGTTTAACTACATAGCAGGTTTTCTACAGTTACTTTACAACTCATGAAAATAATTACCTATTAGAAGGACATAATTTCCAAACATGGGACGTTTTCCTACTTTTCTCTGAATTCTTTGTATAAAAATAAAGCTTCAAAAATATAAACAGGTTTTAGTCTTCATTTTCCCGTAATATATTAATGTCAGGGGTGACCCATATTTGGGTCCCGACCAACAGGGTGGAAAACTCTGGGCTAGAGTAAGGAAAAGGTTCTTTCCGCACTCAATTTTTTCGGACAATTTAAGCACTATTTGGATTAGGAGACTGGATTTTCTGGATTGCCCAGACAAGCCACGTGCAATTTAGTATCTGGGCACAGGCTTAAGCCCATTGCTTCTTGTCCTGTCCTCAGAGGCCAAGGGGAACAATTTTTCTCCCTCCTCCTTGTCATACCCTTTTAGAGACTAGAAAACTGCTCTCATGTCCCCTCTCAGTCTTCTCTTTTCTAAACTAAACAAGCCCAATTCTTTCAGTCTTCCCTTAGTCTGTGTGTCCTCCCTCTCCTCCACCCCACCCCCCCGTCCCCCGTGCAATGGGATAACAGCCCTGCTCAGCCTCCCCAGGGCTGGGAGGAGACCGACATAGTGAGGCGCTCAGGTACTGTGATGAGGGGGAGTGGGAACTTCTCTGCACCACTGCCAGCCCTTCCCTGGGGTTTGGCCCCTTCTTTTCTCCCACCCCCTCACGTCTCCCTCTTTTCCGAATGTGACCTTGGCTCAGAAGGCTTGGCTCTGTTAGAGGTCCCTGTTCCCTCTTCAACAGCCCCACCCCGCCCCATGCAAAGGGATTCCTCCTTTCTATGCTCCTAAGCACTTCCAGATCCTTAATGTACTTGCCAGTGCAGTGAAGAGGCCCACCTGGGAGCCACTCCTGTACCCAAAGAAACTCCTGGACTGCAGCAGCAGCCCCCTCCCCGGCCCCAGTGGCGCCCCGCTACAAGCCTGGGTGCAGGGCCTCTGACAGAGCTGGGCGGGCGGAGCCCAGGGCTGTGGGCTATCAGTGTGGAGCATCACTACTGGACAGGGCATCGATTTCTCTGGCGGGCAGGTGGGGCCTGTTTGGGTTTCCATGGAGAGCAGGAGCCACTGGACCGGGCCCTGCCCTGCCTGGCGGCTCAGCCCTGCTGACGCCTGGCACTTCCTCTGTTCCAGACGTGCTCGGACCCCAGGAGCAAACCCCCCTTCTTCACCGAGAAAACGATGGAGGCCTCCATCAAATACATCAACAAGAAGTTCCCAAATGTGGATGCGCGGAGCAGCACGGTGAGCAGCCTCCCGCAGCCAGAGGCTCAGTCCCTTGCCCATGGAACAGCTCCCACATCGGTCTGCCCAGCCTGGGGGCTCAGATGTGGAGAGGCCCCATGTCTGCAGGGATGTGGGGATCCATCCACCCCCACCCTGCTGGCCCTGCCACCCGTACAGCCTCCACCCTGCCAGTGCTGCCCCCCATACAGCCCCACCCTGCTGGCCCTGCCACCCGTACAGCCCCCACCCTGCCTGCATGGTGCTCGGATGTGTACTGGCCACCCTCACCCTGTCACGGCACCATACACATGGGAGGCAGGAGTGTGAGAGGTGCAGCAGCAGCCCCAGTTTTATACCAGGTATCTTCACCACTGGCCCCACAGCAAGGTCCAGGCCATCAGCCCCACACCCTGAGGCTCCACTGCCAGTCCCAGGGTCCCAGCCATTGGCTCAGGGCTCTGCAGCTGGGTCTGGCTGTGCCCCCCTTCCTCCCAGGGCAGTGAGGGGCACAGACAGGAGAAGGGGAGGAGAGCTCAGCACCCCTACCCTAGAAATCATTCCAGCACTACTGTAGGGTGCTCGGATGCATACAGCCCCTTCCCCTGCTGCTGGAGTGCTTGGCTCTGCATAGCCTGCCCTAGCTTGAGGGCCGCAGATGCCCTGGGGCGAGTGTGCCAGGGCAGCAGCAGCCAGCCCTGAATGCCAGTGACCCGTGACCCATGGGGGAGGGGAGGGGTGGGGTGGCTGGTTCTGTGGCAGGG